CCAAAAATTCTGGTTTGAATATCAAGAAATTTCCACCGGCGATACAACATAATTTTCTGGAAATTTCGAAAAAAAGACAACCACGCGAATAATAACTAGCTAGTAAAGTAAAGTCTGCATAAGAGCCAAGTGGCCCATCAGGTCGGAACTTATCCAAGTGTCTGTAGCATGAAGCAATTAGGAGTATTTCTACTCCTCCCTGGATGGGATGCTAGTCCATTGCAGGGTTAACCCAAGCATTAAGGTCGCCAGTACCCATTTATTCACCTGGGTGGAGAGAGGCACTGTGAGAGTACAGTGTCTTGCCCAAGAACACAACACAATGTCCCCAGCCAGGGTTCGAACCCGGACCGCACCATCCGAAGACGAGCGCACTAACCTTGAGGCCACCGCACCTCACACTAACTAGCTATAACTAAATTTGCAAAAATTTCTCACCAGGGATTTCTGTTCCATTTTATTTTGCGCCCGGAATTTTAATTCAGAGAACTTGTGCAAACACAGACAAAATTTCATCATTAGTTTCATTTCACCAGTACTTTCAAGTGTTTCATATGAAGTTCAACATTCGTTTTCGACGTTTGGTGTTGCTAAAAATGAATTTTTTTTTGAGAAGATATTTAAAAGAGTCGTACAGAAGTTTGCAATACGATGTAAATAATCTTGGTACTAGGTTTTTGTCTACTTGTTACTGGAACTTCTGATGGATTCCGTCTTAACTTCTTAATGTTCCGTATGAAACTTAACGTAGTTGACTTAATAGTGACATTGGTAACATTATGTGGCTTTTTGCAGTTTTCAGGATAGCACTGGATACCGATACATTGCATCTCTGCAGTAGAGAGCTCACCAAATCTTCTTTTTTCAGCCATTTTTCATACAGAACTTTCGCCTACCACCCAAAAGTTTTGAAGCTTAGCGACACTTCTTGTATTCGTTTTCCACGTAAGGTCAAACAAACATAGGTATAATGACTAATAACCACGATTCAGGAACCAATCAGAAGCGAGAAATACATTATCCGAGGTTGAATATTTAATAAATGGGTAATCATCAGGTTTAATAGATATCACTAACTTCATTCATCGAAATTGTTTCCAGCACTGATTTTCCAAATTGCTTGGCTACAAAGGTGGCCAACCTAACTTGTTTAATATCATGTCATGGAGCAGATCACTCATCTGCCCAATTGCTGAAAGGTATTTAAGCACATTCTATGCCACTTTAACATAGTGATACACTTACACCTGCTGGAACTTGATAACCAGATAAAACCACATCCTGAGTAACAACACGGGACCAACCAGCAGACACAGAATGCAGTCTACAGCCAAATGAAAATCAAACTTTTTATTTGCTTCCAGGTGTAATAGACAGAATGAAGTGGTTATAAGATAAATGATGTGTTACTGCAATTTTTTGTGACATAATAATGACAAAAAATGCCAAGAAGGGTGGATGGCTACACTACAATCTGACATAATATTAAGAGAAATGTAGTTTGAAGAATTGCTAAGGAAGCAACAGAAGTGCATAAAGTAAAATGAAAGCCCCAGAACTGCGTGCTTTTCAAATGACATTTAAAACCTGGGCAACCCTAAAACACGGAATTTTGAATCCGGAATTCAGAAACCTTATTATTGATATTGAGAATGACAATAGAAATAATCCACCTCCGCAATGTCCAATAAATAAATATGGAAAAAATTGTTGTCAGTTTAACAAATTGACGTCAGTATTTTTATGCGTCTGTCCTCTTATTGATGATAAATTTCGTCATAACATTGTCAAAGTTTACTGCGGAACCACTCGCCTGCGGCTCGTGGTTCCAAATCCACTTTGACAATGTTATGACGCAATTCATCATCATAATAATTAATTTCTCTTACATTGTAAAAGCAAAGCGTATTAAATTATTTTCTATGTATAAAACCCGGATCAAATATACGAAAATAGATACGATTGCGTTTTAATATAACAGAATAAACAACACCTTTCTTTAAAACTAGTTTAACTCCAGTGAACACTCTTTTTCCTTGGCCATCTTAGCTTTAGAAGAAACAAAACACAAACCGCGGCGATAAACATGGAACCAAAACGCATGTTAAACAAAGTTAATTTCGTTGACTTCAAGGAAATTAACTTTGTTTAACATGCGTTTTGGTTCCATGTTTATCACCGCGGTTTGTGTTTTGTTTCTTTTAACTTCAGTGGTTTCGACATAAGGCCATCACACGTGTCGTTGGTGTGGGTTTTCTCCTACGCATTTATCTTCTTATCATTTATCTTCCCATGACGTTTTCTAGGATTACGGTGCTCATGTTGTTTTCAGTTTAAACAGCATAAAGCTAAAGCCGCGTAAAATATTTTGAATTTTTGTGACAATTATCGAGGGAACATTTTCATGCGCCCATTGTTTGGTCGTGAGATTTGACGTTTCTATGGTAACCATGTTTTCAAATTGTGTTTTACCTAAATTTGGTAGTTCTTCTGTTTTAGTAGGACTTAAAATCTTATTACCATTTCATTCGAAATTATTGTATCCTAATGTCTCTCTTTATTAATATTGGAGCTGTTCTGTCTAATTTGAAATATTTATTTTGGCTTAATATGACGTCATAATAAACACGNTTCTAAAGAATTAGATGAGTCGCACAGTAGAGTAGATCTTAAGTGGATGGTGGTTTTCAGCAGCTGGCTCCTTACTACTACCCTGCAAAAATACTTGTATCCATGATCAAACACCTTGATTTCAGACATACCCAATCTGTGCTTGGACCACCTCTGATCCTCCTTTGTCGCATTTAGACCTGACCCCCCCCCCCCCCTTCCCCCGCCACCTCCTCCCCCTCAAGGCTTCACGAACGAAAAGCAAGCCCAGGGTAGAACTGAGAAACTACTGGACTGGAACTAAGGTGATAAGGGCCGTAGCTAAAATTCCGAAAACCGCCCTTTGCTCGCGCGCTCGTTTCAGAGTATTTATATGGCGTGTTGTCAAGTTTACGAAATTTGTCTATATTTGGCCCTGTAGACTTGATTCTTATTTAAGTTTTCACTCACCGAAACGGCCATACTTGTCAAACCAACTTCAGAGGCGTTCAAACGTCGCCTAAGTAAACACCGACTCAATGTAAAGCCGTTTTTTTTTTCGTACGTTTCTTCAAGCACACACAAAAAAAGTGCGCCTCAGTTTTTAACATACGCACTTGACCTAGTGTGACTGGAGATAGGCGGCGATTATGATGGAGACAAACAAGACTCACAGTAACTTCATCAGGGATGGTTTAACCTCCTTGGAAGGTGGTAGTAATTGCACAAAGCCGCAGTTAATAGATAACTAAGATTGCACTTAATTAATTTTCTATTTTACCTCTCCAATGAGATAATTCACGAGATTCACTTGTCCGCGAGGTTGCTTCAATAGTAGAAAAGCAATGTGTATTTCTGAGAAATGGCCGGACAAGCTCAGGTCACTTTCGATCTCACGAGATTGCTTCAACGTTCAGTTTCCGCGTACGTTACATTGAAATACAGAGACTTTCGTGACTATATTCAGAGCTACTAATTAGCGGTCTATTCACCGCATTTAACATTGATATTCAAAGTCAAAACTGAAGCTCGAAGCAAGCGTATTGAAGATCTGCAAGAACCCTTAGATGATGAGGAAAGACCGTCTTGAGTTTGAAGCCGTATTTCTTGTACAAGCGTATTGCTGGTGTCTGTGCGCTGGTGGTAGTTAACTCGACCGTCTCGAATTGTTGATCCTTGGCGTGTTTGAGGAGCTCATCGAGAAGTTTCCTGGCAATCCCCATTCGCCTACACCCTGGTGATACAGACATCCTCTGAAGTTCAGCGACTCTTGGCTTGTGGCTTTTATTGTGAACGAGTCCCACCATGCCCACAACTTTACCATTCCACTCGGCTATCAACATGCGAGAGCCATCACTGGACATGTAACTCTTTTCAATATTTCCTAAGTCTGTTTCCAAGCAGGAATTAATGAACTTCCAGCACTCCACGTAGATAAGGACATATAACAGTGCAAAGAGAACGACACAAGTAAAGATGTAAAGCAGAATCATCGTCACAGACCACTGTAACAGAGCAGCAATGGGTAGAATAAATGCGCTAAATGCTGCAAGACGCTGAAAGTATTTTGGCAAGATAACACGTGCTATCAGGCTGATTAACTGTTCCATCCCTCGAGTAAAAATCTCTCGGCAGTCTTGAAGATCTGTGTTTTTGTAGGCCCTTATGTAGACGGCGCTACTGTCATTTGTGATGGGAGAGAGTTGTCCTTCACTCATGGTCGCTTTCAGAAATTGTACAGATGACTTCTAAAAGACAAGGGAATAGGTATTTCACTAGGAATGAACAGGTCAGGATCATTATCGCGACCACTATATGTGTATTTGAAAGATCAAGGTAAGCATCGCGTGTGTCACAATTCCTTGTCACTAAACAAGTAGTATCTGGCACGACATGTACATATTTACTCAGATATACCTCTATGTTCGAGGCGGTGTTAAGCTTTCTTGCGGAATCAATCACTTAGCATTAAGGACAACCCCTGGGAATCATTTTGTTTGGCCAACTTATTATATGGCACAACCTCCAAAGCAGAAAAAAGTTTTAAGCACAAGTCATTTCAAGACGCCTCGGCTTGTTTAGAGGCAACAATGCACTTTTCACTAAAAAGCGGTTTTAGTCAGTTGCATTCCAAGAGAAACATCAAGCAAGAACTTATCGTCTTCTTCGCTAAACAATCACTGCGAACAATAATTATCAAAATGAAACAGAACTCTGTGTACAAAATCTTTTCCTAATAGAGAAAAGTTGGGCTTCTTCATTTGCTCTCGGTCAGACTAGTCATTTTACAGCTTTACTATAACCTAACCTCTATACAATTCCTGCACCGTCGTAGCTATTTTTTTGCACAACTTAAAAATACTAGTATCTGGCTGAAATGTAAACTGAATATCTTTATAGCATTGGCCGAGTTTGTTGTTGCCGATTATTATCATATAAGAAGGTTACAGTGATCATTTGCACGAGAAACATGTATCAATAAGAGAATGTTATTGGCGACAGGAAAATATACTTACTTCATAAGATGGCTTCTTCACCCCTCAATGTCGAACAAAGTGCAACAGGCCAACAGACGCTTAGAGAAAAAAAAGGCGTACTTTCCAGTACTTTTCGCCCTGTTCAGTGCAGTACGCAAGGTGGCAGGATTCCTCATTTGCATGCTCTTGATGAACATGTACGTGATGGCATTGTAACTTAATACAGCTCGTTCACGATTTTTTCATCGATGTCTGTGAAAATAATGCGATGTAGCACGTGTGTATCAGGCGCATATTGTCTGTGGCAAGGGTTTACATCCGGAAAGAATTATATATTTGGTCTAGTGGGTAGAAAATAAAAAAAAACGAATTTAGAGCGAAGAGAGGCTTGAATATTATTAACATTTTCAAGATACCTTATGCCTTTTCTTGAGAGCAGCAGGTACAGTATAGCATCAGGACTAGACCAGCAGACTTGAATGTATAAAACATCTAAAAATGTAATGATCGAACTCGTTTCCATTGTAAAGAGAAAAGATATTCGTGGAAAAAAACTAACGGGCGTGGCTTGTTGGAGTAGTTACCTACCAATCAACGGTCACTTTTGCTATTCGTATTAGAGTGGGATCAATGCCTGTTTCAGATAATCGAGAGATCATCGCAACCCAATTTTTCCACGTTCAAAGAAGGGTTTCTTCAAGTCAATGTTTACTTTGCAGCAGACGGTATATCAATCATAAAATTTACGACACCCTTTAAAACTTTCGCATTGATCTTGAAAGTCAGTTCATATTGAGTGTCACTAATACTCAAGTGGAGTGTTTCGTCTGTTTTTGTTGTTCGCTTTTTTTTTTTTTTTTTTTTTTT